AGACTTAATTAAATCATTGTGGGGGATGTTACCTCATGTCCACTCCTATGATGCCACATTGATACCCGTAAGGATGAAGGATAAGCAGCAGACTTTTAATGATTCTTATGCGTTGAAAATTTAGCGAAGTAATGCGGGGTTACTTGTAATAAGAAATCACATATGTGAGAGAGAAGTGGGGACCGCTTCTAAGAGAATTGTGTGGGGCTCAATTCTTAAGAACTCTCGCTGAACCAGGCGTATGTTCATGGCCAAAATGAACATGATAATGAGAACTGAATTGTATTAAGAAGAATCCTGTGTGAAGTATATCATCATTTACATAAATTGCAGAACAGTTCAAGGACGTGTCTACTAGTCAACTAGTAAAGTAAATATGCTCTCACAAAGGAAGGTTCGAAGGGTACTACCTACCTATCCTATGCAGGTTTCAACCGTTGAGCTTTAGCACCTGGTCTTTTGATTAACATTTGTATCTCTCTCAATTTTCATTCATGTGGGGGATTGTTGGAGAAATGAGTATGTGGTTGACTTTGGCATGAATTTTGAGTGCGATCCGTTTGGCTATTTTGGAAGATAAAGATTGATTTACGTTCTCCTCCGTGAGTACATCGAAATCGTGTATTTACTTTCCAAAAATGAAGCTCCGGTAAATGAGAAATTGAGTTCAAAGTGGACCAATGAAATATGGTTTATGTTGGAGGGAAAAACTAAATTCGAGTTTATCTCTTATAGGAAGTTTATGGAAGTAAGAACTACTTTAGAAGTGTGCAATCTTGTGTAGCATAGAGACTCTCTCTACATGCATGCGCGGGGGTGTAAATCATGGATTGAAATGGGCTTTGGATCTTAAACTTGTGTGCGGGCACGACCTGCGTACACAAATGTCAGACTGAATTAACCAAAAAATGGCTCTTTAGGATGGCCTACATTTTGTCAATTTTTTGCTTTCAACAAATGGCTTTTGGTTTCTGAAACTCCAATGATTATTGTCATAACTTTTGATTTCTGAAAATCCATTGATTATTGTCATGACTTTTGATTTCTGGAACTCCAATGGTTATTGCCATGACTTTTGATTTCTGAAACTCCAATGATTATTGACATGACTTTTGATTTCTGAAACTCCAATGGTTATTACCATTAAGTTATGGACAATTTAATGGAGTCAAGTCTATATAAAGCCTCATTTTCCACTATTTCAGACACGAAGAATACAGTATGCATTATAGTTCCAAAACACACGAAATTGTCCTCTATCTGCATACATATTTTACTGTATGTCAAGGTTTTGGTGGTGATATTGTTCAGTTACTAAGTCAATTCGCCGGAGTAGAATATGTAGTGCTCGGACTCTATAGGTTTACCGTTGTATCTTGGGAAACAAACACTCAAGCACAGACGGTGAGATGACAAATCTATTTTAAGGAAATTGTATGTAACACATGCCTTGAGTTTAAAGTTTTACTTTTTAATTCATTTTTTTCCCTGTTTGTTATTCGTTTTTGTATGTTGATATTTTGTTGTTCTCTTTA